CTGTTTTGTTTTTTAAAATAACAATCTTTTTTTTTTTAAAGATTTTTATTGGGGAATCGGGGGAGGGGGAACAGACAAGTTGCTGTTGTTTTGTTCTTCAGTCTAGTTGTGGAGGACGTAGCTTCACTGGCCCAAGTTGGCACCATCATTGCGCTTTTCCCGGACAAGGCACATCAGTCGCCGGCTTCTGGATGGCCGCTCACTGCAGCTGCTGGCCGCTCATGCTGGCTGCTGGCTACACACGGTAGCCCATGGCAACGTCATTGGCCCTCATATGTGGGATCCGAACCGGGGCCCTCTGGTGTCCCAAGCCAGTTCTTAACCATCACGCCACTCGGCCGGCCCTGTGGGCTATCTCTTAAAAGTATATCCAGGGCCGGCCGAGTGGCTCAGTTGGTTAAGAGCTTGCTGCTCTGAGCAACAGCAGTTCGATGCCCGGCCCAAACTGAGCTGCCAACAGGTGGCAGGATGGCTCAGCTAAAAAAAAAAAACAAAAAATCAAAACTATATGTAGAATCTGACCTCTTCCACCACCTCCACCAGCATCTCTTACCTACATTATGATGGTAGCCTCCTAGCTGGCCTTTCGCTTCCTCCTTCCTCCTGGACTACATTTTCAGTATAGTAGCCAGATTGATCCTGGTAGAAAACCTAAGTTGACAGCATATCCTGCCTCTTCTCAAGAGCTTCAGCAGCTGGTTTCTGTCAGAGCAAAGCTGTAATCCTTGCAGTGGCCCTCAGGGCCCTTCATGATCTCACCTCACCTCCTCTGTGCTCCTCTCTCTGGCCTCCCTGGAGGCCTTCTTCTCCCTGTTCCCTGAAGGCCCCAAGGCTTTTGCACTTGCTGTTCCCTCTCCTAGAAAGCGCTTCCACCAGCTAGCCATCCGGCTCGCTCTCTCTCCACAAGGATTGGCTCAAATGTCACCTTCTCTGTGACGTACCCTCTGCACCTCGACTACCTCCACCTTAGTCCCAGCCTGCTCCAAACTAGTGTTAATACTAGTTTCCTAACACTGCTCCATTTTCTCTGCCTCGACTAGAATGGACGCTTCAAACTAGATTTTTGTCTTTTTGGCTAAAGGTGTATCTACCCTCAGTGCCTAGAAAAGTGTCTGACATGCACAGGTACTCAGCAATTTGTTACATGAATAAATAAATGAGTGAACGATTAACATATCATTGCCATCAAGAGATCAAAATACTCTAGTCAAGAAAGGAGAGAAAGCGGACCCGCCGAGTGGCGCATTGGTTAAGAGCTGGCTTGGGACGCCAGAGGGCCCCGGTTCGGATCCCACATATGAGGGCCAGTGACACTGCCCTCCACAG